ACCATCTGTAACTCCAGTTCCAGGAGATCTAACTGCCCTTCCTGGCCTCTGTGGGCACCAGGCACTCAGGTGCCCAGATCTACCATACAGACAAAACACCCATCCATATAATTTTTTAAAATATTCTATAAAAAGCACAAATGCAATACCATATAAACTAAGGAAAAATTAGAGACCATCTCAGTAGATATAGAAGTAAAATGTGAAGAATTTTTTTTTTTTTTTTTGATTTTCGAGACAGGTTTCTTGGTAGTTTTTGGTGCCTGTCCTGGAGCTAGCTCTTATAGACCAGGCTGGCCTCAAACTCAGAGATTCACCTACCTCTGCCTTCCAAGTGCTGGGATTAAAGGTGTGCACCACCACTGCCTGGCTATAAATTTCTAAATTCATGATATCTTGCTTGGTTGGCAGAGTACTAGCCTAGCACTGGGTTCAGTCCCTAGTGCAACATAAAGTCCACCGTAGGGATTCACATTGGAAATGGAGGCAGAAAGATCAGAAGATTATTCCCACTGAGTGCAAAGCCAGCTTGGAATATATGAGACCTTATCTCAAAAACAACTCAGCAAAGAAGGAATAGAAAGAATCTTTTTGTGAGTGGCGATATTGGGGAACAAACCCAGGGCCTTCTATGCGGTACTGAGTGTAATCCCAACACACATTCTTAACTTAAAAGGTATGCAAAAATCTTACCAACAGCATATTTGGAGGTGAAAATGAGATCTTTCCCCTTAAAAGAAAAAGCTATCTGTGATAACAATGACCTGCAATTCTAACACTTGGAAGACTGAGGCAGGAAGTTTCAAACTTCAAGGTCAATGTAGGAATATATATACATTATATACATATATACGTATATACATATATACGTGTATATATATTGTGTCTTGGGCAGAAAGAGCCAGAGGGAAGAGGGGAGGAAGGAGGCAGGCCAGGTGTGGCAGTGCACACTTTTAATCCTAGCACTTGGGAGGCAGAGGCAGGTGGATCTCTGTGAGTTCGAGGCCAGTCTGGTCTATAAGAACTAGTTCCAGGGCTGGAGAGATGGATCAGTGGTTAAGAGCATTGCCTGCTCTTCCAAAGGGTCCTGAGTTCAATTCCCAGCAACCACATGGTGGATCACAATCATCTGTAACGACATCTGGCGCCCTCAACTGGCCTTCAGGCATACAGACAGAACATTGTATACATAATAAGTAAATAAATATTTAAAAAAAAAAAAAGAACTAGTTCCAGCAGGACAGGCTCCAAAGCCACAGAGAAACCCTGTCTTGAAGAACCAAAAAATAAATAAATAATAATAAACCCACTGGAACTCAAAAGACAGAGCGATACCTAAAAGTCAATTGTTTGCTCATGGATTTTTTTCTTTCCAGGCTGTTCTACAATGGCTTTCTTTATGGTTTTTCATACCAATGTGCAGCACTTTCTTCTCATTTGTTCCTCTCCCACATGTCGCTTCCACATCACCCAGGGAACTAAAACCGCCAGTTCCCTTTCTTTCCTACAAAAGCCAGTCTTATGACATGCTTCTTTAACCTGCCCAAGACCCTCGATTTGCCTCAGTTTGTTTTTGATCACTGTTGGGGTTAATGATGGTTATTTGTACGTACTAAAAATATTGAATTAAATTTTAAAAGATATAACATTTTTCATGGCATCCAAGAACATGAAATATATATGAATAATTTTATATCTAAAAGCTATTGAATAATGCCAAGATGGATTAGACTGTGATGTGTTCATAACTCGCTGACTCCAAAATCACTGTGATGTCGATTGTCTTCTTGGTGGGCTTTTTGGTGGTTTGTTGTTATAGAGACAGAACACAGGGCTTCACACATGCTAGGCAAGCACTTTACCATGAAATTACATCCTCTAGACCTGACACTGATCTCTGTATTCAATAAAATCTGAAAGTTTTGGCTGGGAAGTGGTGGCACACACCTTTAATCCCAGCACTCAGGAGGCAGAGGCAGGTGGATCTCTATGAGTTTGAGGCCAGCCTGGTCCAAAACTACAGAGAAACCCTGTCTCAAAAAACCAAAAAATAAATAAATAAACAAACAAACAAACAAATAAAATAAAAAGATGCCGAGATGAGTGGACAAAGGAAAAGGAAAGGATGGGCTTTTTCAGAACTGGTGTTAGAGGAGCTGGCTATGCATTTGGGGGAAAAGCAGGAAGTGAAACGTCAACATTGAACCTTTCCTACTACATTAATAAAAATGAACTCAAGCTGATGGGATAGCACAAGTCTGGAGTCCCAGATACTCTGGAAGCAGAGGACCAAACATTCAAGGCCATCCTTTACATCGTGAGACGTTATGGAGTTCATGACCTCTGGGGAAATCAATCTGAATTATTGGTTCAATCTATTAAAGCTGTTAGCAAGACAATCTCTGAGCCAAGGTTGGGATTGCTTCCTGAAAGGGGGAGAAGGGAGAACTTTTTTTTTCCCCCGGAGCTGAGGACAGAACCCAGGGCCCTGCACTTCCTAGGCAAGCACTCTACCACTGAGGTAAATTCCCAGTCTTGAGGGGAGGATTTGTAAAGGTAAAAAACACAAGAAGACCTGGAGCATCTGCACAGGCAAGGCAAGAGCTGTTCTCTGTCAGAACAAGTAGTCAGGGTGACCACAAAATAGTGCTGAATGCCTACAGAAGCAGGTTCCAGAAGTCTAAAAGCAGTATAGCACAACTATATATGTATCCTTGTTTTATATGATATGTGTTTGTGTGTGTGTGTGTTTTGTTTGTTTGAGACAGGGTTTCTCTGTGTTACCCTGACTGTCCTGGAACCCGCTTTGTAGACCAGGCTGGCCTTGAACTCACAGATCTGCCTGCCTCTACCTCCCAAGTGCTGGGAATAAAGGCATGTGCCACCACACCCAGCCAAGATTGTATATTTTTGCATGGGGGTGACTAAATCAGGGTTCCTGGGAACTTATCTTCCAGGGACTGGAGTCAGAGACAAGCGGTTAGTGGGTACCAGGATGGATGCCTAGCGTAAAAGGGAGTTTCTTTAGCAATCATGACACCATCTCAGAAAAGTTAACTCAAAATATATCATACACCTAAGAGTCAAAGCTAAAATTAGAGTCAGGTGTGGTGGTTCCTACCTATAATCCCAACACTTGGGAAGGAAGGGCAAAAGAATCTTGAGTTCAAGAACAGCCTTGCCACATAACAAGACCTTGTCTCAAAAAGGAAGGAAAGAGCTGGTTATGGTGGCGCACACTGGTAGGATTTGCTGAAGGAGGCAGAAGCAGGAGGATCACGAATTGGAGGCCAGCCAGGGCTACATATTTAAAAAAAAAAAAAAGGAGCCAAGTGGTGATGGCACACGCCTTTAATCCCAGCACTCAGGAGGCAGAGGCAGGCAGATCTCTGTGAGTTCGAGGCCAGCCTGGTCTACAAGAGCTAGTGCCAGGACAGCTAGGGCTGTTACACAGCGAAACCCTGTCTCGAAAAAAGGAAAGAAAGAAAGAAAAACAGAGAGACAATACATAATTTGGAGTGAAAAAAATTTTGGAATACATATATTTGGCACAGAACAAATATCCAGTATATATCAAGCACCTCTGGGGGCTGGAGAGATGCCCCAGTGGTTGAGAGCATTGGCTGCTCTTCCAGAGGACCCGGGGTTCAATTCCCAGCACTCATATGGCAGTTCTTACCTGTCTGTAACTCCAGTTCCAGGAGATCTGATGCCAATTCACATAAAATAAAGTTAAATAAATTTTAAAAAAAGAACCTCTATAACTCAATAAGAAAATAATCTCAAATAACTCAATTTTAATAATTGAGCAGGCATTTTGAAAATGTCAGTTTGCTCATAACCAACAATCACTAATATTCAATATATTGAATAGTATACATCCTTTATCATCAAGGAAATGCAAATGACAAACTAAAATGAAATACCACCATCAGGCCAAAGATAACCTCAGTGGGAGAACCTTTCCTTGGAGGGAAAGAAAAACTAAATGAAAAACACCCTCTAGAACGGCTAAATCTAAGAACACCAGCAATGCCACACGTTGGCAAAGATGCGGAGCACCTTACAACTTTCAGACCCTGTAGGTAGAAACGTATGGCGGTTGTCATTGCTGGTGTTTCCTGCCAGAAGACGGTGTCTCCAAGTAGCAAAGATATCCTCTCTCTTGGTTACCTCAGTAAGTCCCCACTGGCTGTGAACAGTGGTTCTGGCCTAGGGCCTCTTTCTAGGCCAACAGCAGCAGCTTCACCTGGAAACTAGGAAATGCACATTCTCTTGGCCCCACCTAGCCAGCTCAATGGGAAACACTGGAGGTGATGCTCAACAGTCAGGTGCCAGGTGATTCCAGCTCAGCAGGGGACTAAGGAAGGAAGAAGGGCTACCTCTTTAAGGCTAATTGGGTACCTCCCCTCCTCTTCCCCAGGCTTCTTAACAGCCTGGTGTGGGAAGCTGGTCCTTAGGTGAATCTCTGAAGTCAGATGAGGACAGCAGTTCAAGGTATGACCCACGCCTGGAGCACAGTAAGCTTGAGCAGGGGATGAGTCGGACTTGGAGCCAACTGGACACAACCCTGGTGTCTGCTCCCTCACCACGCTGGGGTTCTGGGAGGGGCCCCAAGGCTGTCAGATAGTCTCTCTGCAAGCTTCCAAGCTTGGGCTAGACAAAATCACCATTCTCTCCACTGATGTTTTGAGTGTTTGTCTCAGATCTGGGAATGCTCTGATCAGGTCCCCGGGGAAGAGGGGCGGTGGCGGGGGGGGGGGGGGGGTGGGGTGGGGTGGACGACTTGGCCTCTAGGGGTTTTCAATGGCTATCGGCTATAGCCATAATTCCCCAGGCCTCAAACAAGTTTTCCTTACAGAGAGACGGCTGAGAGCTTAGCTTCTGCATTATTCAGGAGATAGAATAGCTCTGCTCCAAAGCAGAGACCCAAGACCCTGCCTTACCCCTGACTCGCTTCTGTCCCCCAACACCTGCATCAAGCTACCCAGGAAAGCTCCATGAGTTTCCAAAGCACCAGCAGTGGGACGGAAAACACACCAAAGACCATGCTTTGGGGTAAGGGTAAGACTGTCCCCAGCAAAGGTGGAATGGGGTTGCTGGTGAACCGTGCCCCTGATGTGGGGGAGCCCACGAGCCTCCCAAACCCATGCTGCTTTCTTCTCCATGTAGGCGGCGAGCTCAATCAGGACAAGCAGACTTGCACCTTTAAACCCCAAGTGGAGAGGAGGGACAGCTGTAAACTGTTGCTCAGCACGGTGGGTGTCTCCCCAGGAGGGGAGGAAGGCTGGCACAGGAGTGGTTCTCTGGTCTCAACAGGTAACAGCTTTCTCCCATCATCCTTCTCAGATCTGCTTGGGGGAGAAAGCCAAAGAGGAGGTGAATCGCGTGGAAATCCTGCCCTCAGCAAACCAGGAAGACAGAAAACTGCCAGTCACCATTGCCTCCCTGAAGGCCTCTGTCCTGCCTATGGTGAGTCTCTCCCTTCGGGCCCAAGGAAGCTATCTGCTCTAGCGTCACCCTTCAAGGGGCCTGGACATAAATGGAGGTGCCTTCATGCCCTGGGCTTACAGCCATGTAGCATGACCCTGACCACAGTGGACAGCCATCCCAATTCCCGCTTCCCAGAAGCAAACATGAACAAGCCAAATAGCCTCTCCAACAGGGTCACGTTTGAGCTGTTTACTACTAGTCAGCGAGAGCTTGTTGGGAGCTGGTATTTGGCTCGTGTGTCTGGAGAGGCTTTTCCTTCTAGCGATGAATCTCATGGTGTCCCACAGTGAATTATTATTCGTGAATAACGGCAGGTTTGTAGTCTGGAGGTTTTAAAAAATCCTTCAGGGGTGGGGCAAGTGTGTGTTTCCGTAGCACGCGTGGTGATTGGAGGACAGCTTTCCAGGAGCTGAGTCTCTCCTGCTGTGGGTTCCAGGAATCGAACTCAGGTTGCCAGACTTAGGCAGCAAGGGCTTATACCTGCTGAGCCATCTCGCCTGCCCTTGTCTGTTTGAGACAGGCTCTCATAATCTCCAAACTATAATTTTCTGGCCTCACCTTCTCTGGTGCCGGGATTACAGATAATATGCCAACACACTGGGCCCTTTTCCCTTTTCTAGAACCTCACTGCCTTGCCCCATGGGCTCGGACTTTTGGTATAATACAAATGCTCCCTGACTTAAAACTAGGTTTGTAAGTTGGAAACTTTCACGACTGGGAAAAGCATTTACTATGCTCATCCCGTGACGCACCCTAGTTTAGCCCCCTGACTTGCTGTAGAAGCATCATTTGTTCGCCTTTGAGAAAGCGGGGTGGGGAGAGCAGAGTGTCATGAAGCTCCTTGCCATGGCCCTGACTACACAGGCTCCTATCACAATTGTCACTGGCCTAGGAAAAGATCAAAATTCAGAATGCAGATGTGTTTTCCATCAAATGGGTTTAACTTTCACTTCACCGTAAAGTCAGATCTCCAGATTGGGAACTTCAATTAGATAAATGTGAGCTGACGGTCTTTCCTCTTCCTTGATTTGAGATGACTCTCCATGAGATGATTGACAGATACCCTTCACCAAATGAATGAAGCCCCCATCTAGTCCTCCTGGGCTTTAAAGCTTTTACTTTTATTCATGAGTAGGGAGTTTAAACGTCATCAACTGCTTTTTAAAAGAAGATTTTTACTTATTTCTATTTTTCCTGTGTGAGTGTTTTGCCTGCGTATGTCTGCACACACATTTGAACCTGGTTCCCACAGAGGCCAGAGGGGGCCTGGGAACTGGAGTGGCACGTGGTCGTGAAACACTGGGTGGGTGTCCGCCCCTCTTGAAGAGCAGCCAGTCCTTCTTTCCAGCCCCTCAAATGTTTTTGACTCCCTTGATCCCAGGTCCTTCCTCCACATCCCATTACCCTGTACACATCGTCATGTTGAGAGAATAGCATTTGAGCCTTTTGGGTCCTTTACTTAATCATGTGAATTCTCGATTCACTTTAATACATTGACATCTTTTGGGGGGGTGCAGAGTTTGAAGACAAGGTTTCTCTGTGTAGCTACGGCTGCCTTGAAACTTGCTCTATAACCCAGGCTGGCCTCAAACTCAGAGATCTGCCCACCTCTGCCACCCGAGCTCAGCTTGACATCTTTCTTCACTTAAGGGTTCCTCTGGGGGGCTGGAGAGATGGTTAAGAGCATTGCTCCTCTGGGTTGGGGGGTGGTGAACATGGCACAGCTCACATGTGGCAATCAGAACAGCTTTGTGGAGTTCTTCTCCCCTCAAGCCTGCTGTGAGTTCAGGGCCTGAACTCAGGCTGCCAGGCTTGCTCAGCAGGGCCCTTTCCTCCCTGAACACCTACCAGCTGAGCCATCTCACTTCTTCCTTTCCTTTGTTTTCATTTTGTTCTTGTTGTTCTTTGAGACCCAGTCCAAAATGGTTTCAAACTGTCAGTGGTCCTTCCGGCTGTCCCTCCTCCCAAGTGCACCACAGAATTCCTTTTTGTTGTTGTTTGCTTGCTTGTTTGTTTTTTAAGACAGGGTTTCTCTTTGTAGCCCTGGCTGATCTGGAACTAGCTCTGTAGACCAGGCTGGCCTTGAACTCACAGAGATCCACCTGCCTCTGCCTCAGTGCTGGGATTAAAGGTGTGCACCACCACCAGCTTTTTTTTTTTCTCTCTCTCTTTTCTTCAGTGAAAAACAGAAAAGAGAATAATTCGGTGTGGCCATATTGTGAAGCGGATCATTTTGTGTCTGGGGTTGTTTTTGTTTTGGATGGTCTCATGTCACCCAAACTGGCTGGAACTTAAAATCTTCCTGCCTTTGCCTCTTCCATGCTGGGATGACATCATGGTGTGACCAGCCCCTACCAGGGGGCCGGGTTGAGTTCCCTGTGTCTCCTATGTTGCTCTGATGTCCCTTCCCACCACAGGTCACAATGACAGGTGTGGAGCTTTGTCCCCCAGTGACTTTCCGGCTCCGGGCTGGTTCAGGACCTGTGTTCCTCAGTGGCCAGGAATGTTATGGTAAGTTGAGGTGTCCTGGGTACCTGAGGCCTTAGGAGAGTCTTGACTTTTTTTTTACGACTCCTCCAAGGGCAAATGACTGCCAGTGAACTAGAAGGCCGTGACAGGGCTGTAGCCTTAACTTTTCACTTGCCTCTCCATGTTTGCTGTGGGCCTCAGGCCTGAGCTGTATCCGAGAGTGCTGTGGCCCTTGTTTCAGCTTCAGAGACTATTGCAGGATAAGCAGGGTCTTCCAAGACTGGCCATGGTAGCCGGGCGGTGGTGGCGCACGCCTTTAATCCCAGCACTCGGGAGGCAGAAGCAGGCAGATCTCTGTGACTTCGAGACCAGCCTGGTCTACAGAGCTAGTTCCAGGACAGGCTCCAAAACCACAGAGAAACCCTGTCTCGAAAAAAAAACAAAAACAAAAAAAAACAAAAACAAGAACAAGACTGGCCATGGTGACACAGCCTGGAATCTTAGCTCAAGGCCAGCCTGGGCTACATGGCGAGACCCTATTTGGGAGTATTTCCAAGATGGCTACTAGAAGGCATGAAGCTTATAGCAGTAGCATGGCCAACAACACAAGCCACCTGCCACGCTGTCACCTCTTAAGATCCCCCTCACAGCCTGGTGATAGTAACACATACTTTAATCCCAGCACTCAGAATGCAGAGGCAGGTGGATGTCTGAGTCTGAGGCCAGCCTGGTCTACAGTGAGTTCCAGGACAGCCAGAGCTATAGAAAAACAAACGAATAAAAAAAAAAAAAAAAACAAGAGGATCCACCTCACATTAGACACCACCTCAACATGACACACTGAGGACCAGGTTTCTAGTACATAAACCTTGGAGAGCCAAGCCATACCTTAACCCCACCATCTACATCTCCTTCCCTGCTTGTCTACCTTTAGCCTTGTCCCAGTCAGTTCTTAATACACATCCTCCTCCTGCCTGCCCTCCTTCCCTTAGTCTGCATGGAGACTTCCTGTCCCCTGCTTCACCCTGGGCCCTACCGGAGGAAGGGACAGAAAGGATATGGCTTGCTGCCAGATGGTGGTCGCGTGCTTGCGTGGGGATAAACTTAGAGCAGAAAGGGATGGTGGGGAAGGAGCTAGGCATTAACTCAGATGTTCTGGTTTCTCCCCACCCTGCCCTATTCCTGCCTACCTACCATGCCATTACAGAGACTTCAGACCTACCCTGGGAAGATGACGAGGAAGATGAGGAAGAGGAGGGGGAAGAGGAGGAGGAGGAAGAAGATGAAGATGTGGATTTGGATTTATCAATAGAAGAGACACCTACCAAACAAGTCAAAAGGGCTGCTCCCCACAAGCAGATGAGCCTGGCTAAGGTTTGGGGAAAGGAATGAGATTGGGTATGAGGATCCGAGCTAGGCCTCCCAGGTTGGGCATTTGGTGCCAGCTAAGGCCACCACCACTGAAGTTCTACGGGTCTGAGTTGGAACTGCTCAGTACTCGAGTGTGTTCTGGTTCTAGGTCTTGGGGTTGACTCTCCAAATAACACTTGGTTTTTATTTCCAGAAAAAAAAGCTAGAAAAAGAGGAGGAGGCAGCAAGGTAACTCAACACTGTTAATTCCCCACCATGGTCACCACCAAGGATTGCAAACAAGGCTTCTGGCATGTTAAGCAAACAGGGTACTATTGGGTTACAGCCCCAAACTTTGTGTTTGGCTTCGTTTGGTGCTTTGTTTTGTTTGAGACAGGGTATCAGTAAATTGCCCAGCCAGGCCTTAAACTCACTGTATAGCCCTGGCAGGCCATGGACATATGATCCTCTGGCTTCAACCTTCCTAGGAACTGGGATGACAGGCCTGGGTACCAGGCCCAGCTGAAACAGCAGAAGGTCTTCTGTGAGATAACTAGTCCTGGGGAGCAGCTATAGGCAATGTGTTTCCACACATGTGCACGTGGGGATCCAACAGCTCCAGAGGCTGACACAGCCCTTAAAGCATGAATAATCCTTCTGACCCGACTCTACCTGAGGTAACTCCCCCACCAAAAAAAAGTTCAGGATCTACACTCAAACTCAAACTGGCCTTACCTGACCATCCTGGAAAGAGTGGCATTCTAACTGTCTGCCAATGAGAGTTGACCAAACAGTCTCCTATTAATTTTTTTTTTCTTTTCTGTGGAGTAAGTCAAATGGAACATATGTTGTCTTTGAAAGCATGCTAACAACCTAGAAAGGGACATAATTAAGAGAATAGAGCATGGGTTTGGGCTCATTTGATGTCTTGTATTTTAGAAACAGCTTGGCTAAAGTTATACAAAAGATTAACATTGGGTGGGCTGGAGAGATGGCTCAGCGGTTAAGAGCATTGCCTGCTCTTCCAAAGGTCCTGAGTTCAATTCCCAGCAACCACATGGTGGCTCATAACCATCTGTAAAGAGGTCTAGTGCCCTCTTCTGGCCTGCAGGCATACAGAATATTGTATACATAATAAATAAATATAAAAAAAGATTTAACATTGGAAAGTAATGAAAAGCATAAGTAATTTTTTGTCTGTTTGCTAAATTATGTGCAGTGAGTGAGGTTAACATTAATTTTATAGTAAAAAAATCTAATATCAGCTCTTCTTTAAAGTATATTTAAGGGACAACTTATTCATCCAGATCGGACCAATTTCAATAAAACACCAGTCTCAGGACGCAGAACAATAAGCCACCAAGACTAGAGACCTCCACCTGAGAAGGAACCAAGGCAAATCCCTGAGGTTCCCAAGGCTGTGGAAGCCCCCTCTGCTAACCAGAAACTCAGACTCAATCCAATCCAAACCTTCGTCCAACTGGAGAACATTCTAAGTCCCTTAACCAGCCAGCGCCATGGGGACAGCAGGGTGCATGTAAAGATCAGGTACCTGAGGTTTGTCGAGATAAAACACTTGAGCAGTTTAAAGGGGTGAATGGCAGACTGGATGCAAGGATGGCAAATTCTGGAAAAAAAAAAAAAGAAAACTGAAAGAAAGGTGGAGACTTTTCCTCTCTGCTTACATCAGCACCGAAGTCCCAAGGCAAAAGTGAACTTGTCTCCAGGATGAAAGCCAGTAATGGCAGCGCAGCAGGCAGGACCATCAACAAGACACTTATGACACACACCCCAGGAACGTTTCAGAATCCCTGGAGTTCTGGAGTCTCTTTGGTTTGTAACTCTGAGGACAAATCTCTTCATTCCCCACCACGTAAGTCATGTCAACAAGCCTCTTAACTGTACCAAGATCCCGTCCAACACAGTCTAGAAAAACAACAGCCTCAATCTGCCTGTCCTATGATTGAAAGGAAGGAAGAAAAAGAAGAGACCAAAACATTTTGACGCTGAGCGTGGTAACACATGCCTTTAATCCCAGCATTCAGGATGCTGAAGCAGGTGTATCAGTTCTAAGCCAGCTGGGTCTTCTCTATAGGAAGGATGTCCAGGGCTACTGATAGACCCTGTCTCAAACAAAATGCATTTAAGTATATATATTGTCTATTGAACCTATACCCCTGTACTTCCTAACCATCCCTTTTATACCATCCCCCTCCCGTTATAAAAAAAAGGCTTTTTTGTTTTGTTTTTCAAGACAGGGTTTCTCTTTCTCTATAGCCCTGGCTGTCCTGAAACTCGCTCTAAAGATTAGGCCAGCCCCGAATTTACAGAGATCTGCCTGCCTCTGCCTCCCGAGTGCTGGGGTGCACCACCACCATCAGGTGATAATGGTATTCTTTCTCATACCTGAAAGAAAAACAATAGGAAGTCTAAGAAGAAAACACTCTTAAAGAGACAGAACAGAAAAGGAAACAAGCAAAGCTGCGGCTGAGCTCAGCGACAGAGGACTTGCCTAGCATGCTAGAAATCAAGTCTGTTCCCTTCCCGCAACACCGCCAAAAATTAGATTCAGATGTGGGTTGGGGATAAGGTTCAGTGGTGGAGCGTTTCCTTTGAATGCATAAAGCCTTAAGTTCAACCCTTAGCACTGAAAAAAAAAAAAAAAAACAAAAAAAAACCAACACAGGAGGGGACAGAACAGCAGGAGGGGGAGCCAGGTGGAGAGACAATCCTGCAACTTTAGCTGTCTGAGTCCGCCCCTCTCTAGATGAGCTGCCCCAGCTCTGCTCCTGCTTGCAGCTGTTGGGAGGGATCATCTATGGCATAAAGCTCCACTCTCTCTTGCCCACTCTGTCCCTATTCCTTTCCAGGCCCGGCCCTCCGGAAAAGAGCCTCTGGAGGAAGGTGGTCCATGAGAAGGTGAGCCTTGAGAAGGAAGGCTGCCAGGGAGGGAGGGAGAGAGGGAGGCAGGGAGGCCAGGGGGGAGAAAGACTCTTCAGTCTCCCTCATCTGCACAGGGGAAGGCTACACCCAAACCTAGGAAGTCAGCATCCAAGAAATGAAGAGCACCTTGGTATCTCTCAAGTCCCAGAGAGGTGACGACCAGCTGCTCTGGTGCAGGTGTCCAGCCCCTCCACCTGAACCTAAATGTAATAGTGTTGTGGGGGCCACACAGGAGCCCTACAACCTGGCCTTTCTGTTCTTGGAGAAGAACCCCCACAAGTGTGCATAAGCCACAATAAAATTTGCATGATCAGAATCTCCCTCCGTCCTTTCCCTGGGTGGATCTCCTTGTCGCTGCACTAGCTCATGTGCCCAGCAGAGGGCAACCGCGAGCAAGAAACTGGCCCCAGGTTGCTCTTCCTGGTTTCCACCCCAGGATTGGGTAAAGGCCTAGGCATCTGGCCTCTGCCCTGTCCTTTGTGAGCTGGGGCAGGTGAGGTTTAAAAGTATAGAACTCTGGGACCCAACCAGCTTTTGCTACCAGGAAGGGCCTGACCCAGGCCCAAACTGCTCCATTTCTCTCTTAGCAGGCAATTGTCACTGGGGGACAATCTAGGCTACTACAGTTGAGACTAGGCCCATACACTTAGCAGGACCCAGGCCTGTTCCAGGGTGAGACCAGCTAACAGTTGGAAAACAGCGGGTGGCTACTGCTTGGCTCTGGCTCTTTAGCCTCCTTAGCATGTTGAGGTAGCTTTGGAGCCTGTTCACGGAGGGTAGTCAAGACGTCATCCCAGATCTGAGTGAGACACAAGACAACCCCAGAGGCTGTGCTTGTGGGGGAACCCGTGCTCTTCCTGCCCCACCCCAGCATCCCTATCAGCCAGGTCAGAAACAAGCTGATGAAGAGATGTCCCCACGTATGAGTCCCAGGAAGTGGCTTCAACATGATTTCAGTTCCTGGGAAAAGCTTTGGAGGGAGGAACCCAGCAAATAAAGAGAACCTAAGGAGGTTCCTGGGAACAGGCAGCTGCCATGAAAGGAAGTGGGGGGAAGCTAACAAGGCTGTTCCTGTGAATCTGGCTGAATGGAGGAAGGAGATGGCTCCAAGCGTCCACCCAGAAGGAAGGCAGCCATGGCAGCAGGAGCTACAAGCCTAGGGTATACAGACTGTCCCAGACTTGCTCCTTTAGCCATCACAACCATCCCCCTATGTGGGTGATATTAGCTTCACTTCCTAAAGGAGAAAAGCAAAGCCGAGAAGCTAGCAGTCTACACCTAGGTCAGGGAGCAAGAGGAGGAGCAAGGGTGTCCGGCCTCAGAAGCTTTGCCTTGAGCACTCTACCCATGAGAAGGTTTCCTGCCAGTATGCAGGAACTCTTGTAAGCTGAGGGAGGGGGCTAGAGGGCAGTCCTCTGTGTGAGGGAAGCCTATTTGGCCAGGGGAAGACATAGCAGGGACTTCCCTCCTGCGGCCCCAGACAAGGCTCTACACATAGGGCACTTAAATATACCCGTTCCACACATGGGGCTGACCAACAGATACAGCATTGACCACCTGCCTGGATTTGCAGGCCTGTAGCAGGGTCAGATATCAGCCCACATTGCTAGGGGTGCCCTTTGCCCTGACCCCACTCCCAGCCCCAGTGTTCCTACAGGAAGAGGATGGCTAGGCTGAGGCCAGTAGCAAGTCTGCTGCGGAGGATGTGCTGTGCTGCAGCAGCAGGGTCGTAAGGCACCTGTGAGACAGCCCCAACTGGACTTGGCACTGAGGGTGGAGACTAACTAGAATTTTGGTACCCACCTCTCGCTCTGCTTAACACCTCTCAGTGCCCTCGGAAAATGTAAACAGACCCTCCCTCCCTAGCTCACTCCATCAGCGGAGACAAGCCAATCAAAGTTTAGGTAAACTGAGGCTGAACCACAGAGAGCCATTGTCTCCCTTTCCCCTCCTTGGCAACAGGAATCCTTTGTCTCAACTGACATTCATGATGGCAACCATTGCCTTTTTCGAAAAGAGAACCTAGAGCCAGAGAGATGAACTTTCCAAGTCACATAGTAAGGGATGGAGATAGCTCCAGAACCCACTCCCCATTCCCCACTCTTTCTCTCGTGGCCTGCTACTGCCTCCCCCAGGACAGTAAGAGAGCAAACCTGAAATCCAGGCCTGAAAGCGCCAAATGACAAGGGGCGAGATGTCAAGGATACTTCACACAAAGCAGGCCACCCTACATCCCGCTGGTACCAGACTCTGGCTGAACCTCAAGACTAAATTTCACTACTGGCATCTGTTACCATGGAGACTTCGGCTGCACGAAGGGCTAGCCAGTGAAGGACGACAGGCCCTGTCCCCAGTGACGGGGAAACAGGTGCTCAGGCTCAGAAGCCTTGAGTTCTCACTGCCTCCTAGCGGATGAACTCAAGAACACAGGGTATTGATGCCCTGGCCTGTGTCTGTCCTCTGCTTCCAGATGACACCACACCCGCTGAATTCCAAGTCTCTAGCTGTCTCCTCCCTGTACCTGACCCCTTCAGCATCAGTCCACCTGATGCCTTGGACTGAATTCAGGTGGAGGAGAGGCCTTTAAACAGCCTGCCCGGGAGCGAGCGGGCCCGGGTGAGAATGAGGTCATATGGGGGGGGGGGGGGTAGTGCCCCGCAGGGACCGAGGGGTGAGCAGGCTGGAGCTGCTTCTAAGAACATCAGACTGAGCTGCTGCACTTGTACCGTGCTAGGCACTGGGTCCTTAGCCCCTTGACCCAGCCACACATCCTGTTAGAGAGGAGGTATCATTGACCTTCTAGTTTTGACTTTTTTTTTTTTCCTTTTATTTTTGGAACACAGGGTTTCTCTTTGTAGTCCTGGCTGTCCTGCAATTTGCTCTGTAGACCAAGCTGGCCTCATACTCAGGAGATCCCCCTGCCTCTGCCTTGAGAGTGCTCCAACGAAAGGTGTGTGTACCACCACACCCAGCTCTGACTTTTTTTTTTTTTTTTTTTTAAGATATGGTTTCACGTCCCAGGCTGGTCTCAGACCTGCTGTGTAGCCAAGGAAGCTGATGACCGTGAACTGATCCCCAGATGCTTTCAACCTCTGGAGCACTGGGATTGCAGGCGTGCAAACACACCTGGTTGAAGCAGTGCTAAGGATGGGACCCAAAACTTGATGAACATTAGACCAGCCTACTACCAACTGAGCTACATCCCCAGCCAACCTCAGCTCTAATTTTCTTTAAATTTGATTCCAAATCCCTCAACTCTCCCTGATAATTCCCACCCTCTTCAAATATACTCCCAGACCCCCTGCAGAGGCATTTTGAGTCTACAGAAGAGAAAGTGGAGCTCTAAGGGACCCAGCCAGATAGAGCTGAACTGAGCCCCTGGGTGGGGAGCAGGGGAAAGAAAGTCTCTTCTAGCTTGCTTGGGAGGTGGGGGAAGAGGAGGAGCAGAAGCACAGATCACTTTGTGGATTGCTAGAACTCAGAGAGGTGAGAAGGGAGCTGGGGGAGAATGTCACCTTTCCAGTCGGCAATGGCAAAAATAAATCCACCTCCTAGCTGCTCTGAACTCTGGGGAGCCAGAGCCAGAGCTCATTCAGCCAGGTCCGCCGTCAGCCCTGGATCGCTCCTCCTTCCAGTTCACCACCCGCCCACCTTTCTGTAAGGAGAGAACTGGTCAGCAGCTCTCAGAACCTCAGCTGTCACATTACAATCCAGTTAAGCCTGTCAGATCCGGTGGGGCACACCTTTAATCCCAACACGGGAGATGGAGGCAGGTAGGTGTCTGTGAACTGGCAGTAAGGCTGGTCTACACAGTGAATTCCAGGCCAGCTGATGCTGCTTAGGGAGGCCCTGTCTCAGAAAGAAAAAAAAAGGAAAAGGGAAGGAAGGAAGGAAAAAAAGAAAGGAAGAGAAAGAGAAAGGAAGAAAGGAAGAGAAAGAAAGAGGAAGGAAGGAAGGAAGGAAGGAAAAAGAAAGGAAGAGAAAGAAAGAAAAAGGAAGAAAGGAAGAGAAAGAAAGAGGAAGGAAGGAAGGAAGGAAGGAAGGAAAGGAAAGGAAAAGAAAGGAAAGGAAAGGAAAGGAAAGGAAGGCAGGCAGTAAGGTCTCTGAGCCCAATAGTGAAAATAAGGCCTCTGGCAGGTTGGACCCTGGGGGATGAGATCACAATTTCAGGGAACAGAAAGAGACTAGATTCTGGAAATGCAGCGCCTTCAATCACCAGCTGGCTTTTTCTGAACAAATTACCTCCCTGTGGGCCTGTTTCCTATCGGCTTGGGTACCCCAGCTCCGTGAGACTAGGGGTCATATGTCCATACTGCTGAGCACTTCATCCCGGGCAACTGCTAGGGGACACTTGTAGATGGGACCTGGGAGCCTAAGGCTGAGTCTCAACCCCCAAATAAGGGGTTTCCACGTCTTAGAGATTCCCACACTGGCTCACTGTCCTCTCATTTGGCCCTCCAGTACGCCAATGATTTTCCCATTTTTCCACAGGAGACTGCACAGGCCCAGGCAAAAGTGACTCCCGCTTCTTGGGGTCTCCGTCTCAGACCAGTTTTTGTGACCTTCCAAGACCCCTAGCTACACCTGACGCCCCACCTCTGGCCCGAACCTGTTGCACCCACTGTTCGTAGCCTTACCCCTCTTTCCTGGTGGCAAGGGGTGACAGCAGAGAAGCCAAGCTAGCAGTCTCTCAAGCCAAGCCCACCCCTGCTCCCTGGAGGGAGGCTCCTCCTTTAAAGGCTGCTTCAGGGAATTCCCACCCCGAGCCAGAACTCGAGACCCCAGCCCCAGCTCGGTACCTGCAGCTCATTCTTAAAGAGATGAGGTTGGGGCATCAAACCTGAGGGCGGGAGCGGCTGACCCTGAGAGGGGGAGGGCAAGGCGCCTTCCTCCCTGTGCCTACCCCACGCCCCGCACTTCACCGAGGTCGGCAGGTCCGTGCGGGTCAGGAAAAAATCAGAAGAGATCGCAGGGGCCAGCCTCCTGATAGAGGACACTCCCGCAGCTCCATCCTTTGAGCCCGGGGACCCCCGCTCGAAGCTGGCAGCCCAAGGGTGCGAGTACGCCAATCGGACCAGCTCAGCTTCGCAGCCTCCCTGGCCCGGAAGGTGGACACCTCGCACCTCAGTCTCCCAATTACGCCCCCCTCCCCCGCACTCCCCTCCGCTAGCTTCCTCCTTCCCTCCGTCTCCTTTCATCCCCGAAAACCTGTGGCTCCGAGAGACCTGGGTTTCTCTGGGACTCTACCCCAGGCGTCTGCCCACATCCGCTCCTGAGTTTGGGGGGTAGAAGGGCAACCGCCCCAAGAAGTCTCTCCGGCGATGGGAGCCGCCCGCCTGCTGCCTAACCTTACTCTGTAAGTGTGCTGCCTGCGACTGGAGTTCTTTTGCCATTTCCAGCCCCAGGAAAATTATACCTCCCTGGGACTACCATCCGGCAGATGGGGCAAGACAAAGGTGGGGGGAACGGGTGTGCCTGGGGTATTCACACCTGGAACTGCATTGTCTCCCCAAACAGGTGCTTGCAGCTCTTGATTCTCTGCTGTCAAACGCAGGTAGGCACCCCAGCCTAGCGCCCTCTCCCGCGCCCCCCCCCCCCACACCTTTCCCACCTCACCTCAGAGGTGGGGAGGCAGGACTGGCCTCTTCCAACCCAGCAAGTGCTGGGATTTGGAGGGTCAGTTTAGAATGTGGGTTGGCAAGACAAACAGGATGGTGCATAGACTGAGGTTTGCCTCTTGGGCCCTCCGAACCACCCTGCTTGCTGGCTTTCCCTGGGTCTCCCCTCTCTCCATCCCTTTGTGATGGACTTCTGGATGGTTAAGGGCAGTGTGTTGTTTAGACTTGAGGGATAGAGCGCTGGGGCGGTTAGAAGCCAGTGGAGGCCATTGCTCAGGTGAGGTTTGTGCTGCAGGTACCTGAAGGGTTTGGGTTTGAAACCACTTGTTTGGTCCATTCACCCACCATCCACTCTTCCTGACATGCTTGGACTATAGGTGCCCGGGGTCTCAGGCACAGTTGGAGTATCTAACCGGATAGGGAAACCCATTGCCTCTAGAGTTACTAGGTCAAGCCTAAGGGTTTGTTTGGGATGGATTCGGGGCTTACCTCTCCACACTCCCCACACACACACCTCCCACCCCCAAGCCCCCAGCCCAGCCCGAGACAAGGCACAGTTCCTTTTTTGTGATCCCCCATAAAAATGCAGCTATTAAAATGCACTGGTCCAGAACCGCTCTGGGGAGAGATGGCCTGGCTTTCCCAGGCCAGAGGCCTGTTTCTCTTCCCATCCACTGGGGACTTTTTTTTTTTTTTTTTTTTTAAGGTAAATGCCTTTTCTCTGGAGTGGGAAGGGGCTGCCTTTGAAGCAGTGGGGGGGTGGGAGAGAGACAACACCCCCCTTTTTCCTTCCCCCTTTTACTTCACACATCTAGGGAGAGCAAGAAGAAAGCCCCCAGCCTGGCAGGGAGGGGGCTGGGGGTGGGTCCAACCTGTTCTGGAAAGGGAATTAGCACAATGGTGCTGCTGGCCTGGGCGTTTATGGCCTGGCTGAGGCCCCATTCAGGACTGAGGGAAGGTGGCAAGGCTGTCCTTTCCCCCTTGAAGTGCCCCCTCACCCCCCTGGGAGGGGGGGCAACAGGCTGAACCACAGCCATGCTTGAGGGGCTGTCTGACAAGCAGCTGTCTACCGTGGTAGAAGGGGAGGTCCCCCCACAGCGGGGACATGAAAGGAACAGGCAAGGTCCTGTGGGAGAGGGACTTGTGGGCTGTGGGCTGTGGGGGGTGGGGGAGGGCGTGGGCTACTTTTGTGAAAGACTTGAAGGGGGACAAGGAGAGGAGGGGGTTTGGGGGGCTGCTATCTGCCCCTGACCTGGAAGAGACTGCCAGGAGAAGGCTGCCCGCCAAGTGGGGCGGACATCCTGAACCTGGGCCAGAAGGCTAAGGCTGAGATAGACAGGAACCCACCCCTGGCAGGGAGGCCTGGGAGGGTTAAGCAGCCTATTCTCCACCACAGATGTTAGCCTCAAGTTTCTCTAGGGTGGGATGCATGGTTGGTCCCCTAGGATGCTCCCATTCTCCCAGAGTTCTGGCAACTCTTGGCCTTTAGGAACTGGAGACAGAAGAACTGGAAGGGGTCAACCCTGAGCAGGTTATACCTTGGCCGTGACGTTAAGGTTTCACTACCACCACCCTGATACACCCCACCCCTCTATCGAAGAGAGAGTAGCCCCTAATGCATACAGAGCTGGTCCTAGCTCTGCTTTGGATCAGGCCTGAGATAATTACACTGAGCATTAGGAACAGGGAAAGGTTTCCTGCTGAGGTGAGGCTATAACCAGCATCTGGCAAGTCACCCTCAAAGGCACCTCGGAGGAAGCAGGGCAGTAAGTAATGTTGCTGTCCCACTCAGGTAAGGCTGGCTAAGGCAAGCTCCAGGGTGGAGATGTGGCACCGGACTGGCTTGATGTATGGTCAAAATGGCCCCTTTTACCACCCAAGGAGGCAGGCCACTGAATGCCTAGGAAACTGCCCCAGGCCAGCAAGGAATCAGGAGAGCAGTCATTGGTACCCCCCTTTACTGCTGCCTCTACCTACTCCCCTACACTAGAGAAGTATCTCTCTCTCTCTCTCTGGAGATCCTCTAGTACGCTATGAACCTAAGGGGCCAAGAAATGCCCTCCAATAGTAAAGCCCACGTATTTAACACATCTGCTCTGTGCAGATGTGCTGGCTCTTGGACTTTTCAAAGCTAGTGGGGTGGGATGGGGGGCATCTAGAGGTCCTGATTAATGGAGCCAAGACCCCTGAGAAAGAGAAAGGAGGTCTGGTTTTGAGTTACGTGTCCCATGTACCTGTCCTATGAAACATGGGGACAGGACACACACAACCTAGGTTTCTTCTAGCAGCCTGTTATGACTGAGAATGTATGCTGTCTCACTGTGTTTCCCCAAGACTACCAGCCACGAATCCCCAAAAGCCACAGCTGGCTCATGCAACATCCCGGGACGATCATGGACACAGGCACTCTTCACCTTGTCGACTACACTGCAGGGCCCAGGGCCAGCCCCACTTCACTTACCTCTTTACCCCTCTCCCCAGATGGACCAATGGTGGTGTCACCCAAAGCAAATTGACACTATTTTTCCCTTGGTAACCGCAAAGGGGGAGAATCACCCGTCTCCTAATTTTAACCAGTACGTGAGGGACCAGGGCGCCATGACCGACCAGCTGAGCCGGCGGCAAATCCGTGAGTACCAGCTCTACAGCCGAACCAGCGGCAAGCACGTGCAGGTCACCGGGCGTCGCATCTCCGCCACCCGCCGAGGACGGCAACAAGTTCGGTAAGACCTAACCCTTGCCCAGACCACTTTATACCCCGCCAAGCCTGGCCTCCTGCTTTCTTCCCAGCTCCCCGGTTAAGGGTTTTGAGGTATGGTGGTTGGGTAGAGGAAGCCTCTTGGTCCTTCAAGCCTGATTGTACACCATTCCTTTGGTCCGACTCTGAAGGGCAGACTGCTTGGGGGGGTGGGGTAACCCTTGCACAGTCTGTGAGCCAACAGCCAATAGACAAAGGCCTTTCTTCCTTTTCCTCACCATAGCCAAGCTCATCGTGGAGACGGATACATTTGGCAGCCGGGTCCGCATCAAGGGGGCGGAGAGCGAGAAGTACATCTGTATGAACAAGAGGGGCAAGCTGATTGGGAAGGTGAGGAGAACTGGCACACAGGGCAGCAGACAGATGAGTCTCCCATACTGGAGTAAGGGCAGGCAAGGCCGCAGAGATGAACCTCCCTCTTGCCAATGACCCAGCCCACCTGGTTAAAGGGGGAGAGGGAGGTCCTGCTCGACAGAATGAAGTCTTATTTTCTTGACAACCACCCCATCCCCAATCTTTAATTTTTTAATCTTTCTACAGATTTACGCATTTTTATTTTATGTGTATGAGTGTTTATCTGCATGCATGTCTGTGTACCACATGTGTGCCTGGTGCCTATGGAGGTAAGAAGGGATCAGATAATCGGAGATACACATGGTTGTGAGCCGCCTGCCATATGGGTGCTGGGAACTGGACCCAGGTCCTCTGCTGGAACAGCCAGTGCTCTTAACCACTCGGCCATCCCTTCAGATCTCTACTAATTTTTTAAGATATTTATTTTTCTCTTAAGTGTGTGGGTGTTTGCCTGCATGGATGTCTATGCGGCACATGCTTACAGCATCCAAAAGAGGGTGTCTGATCCCTTAGAACTGGAGTTGCCCTTTTCAGCCTTCATGTGGGTACAAGGAATCAAAACAGGTCCTCTGGAAGAGCACCCAGTGATCTTCACCACTGAGCCTTCTCTCCAACCCCCTCCCCCCTCCACAGGGAACCAGTGCTGATGTAGGGACTATTTCCCCAGCAGCGGTCAGGAAGGATCTATCCACTATATGATGTTGTTTGTGATGTGCTGGAGTGGCAGCCCATGTAGGGGGCTAAACCATGATAAGGGTTGCAAGTCGGGGGGCATTCACGTATGGTAGAAGTTCTCCTAAGGTCAGTGGCGTCCATGGATGTGACCGGCAAGATACACTTACTGGTAAAGCCGCAAAGCACTGTGGGTACACAGTAGAATTGCCTGGTCTTGACTTCCAACTCTGACTGGTTCTCACCAGGCATCCTCTCTCTTCTCACCTGTAAGAAGGCAAGGCATGTGGGGTCAGGTGTCCCACGGGCTCTTTCTGACCCCTCTCTCCACCCTGTAACAGTTCACCCAGAGAGCATGGAATCCTCAAGAGCCATGTCCGCGCCCCCACCCCACCCCCAGCCCTGAACTGCATACTACCCTGATCTTGAGCATTTGAAGAAACAGATTCAATGCTTTCTTAGCGCTTCCTCAAGGGACATAAATGCCGAATGGTTTAAACTGCAGCCTGTGCACACTGCTCACAGCTGCCTCACTAGCAGAGGAGCCCCATCTCCCCAGAGAGTTTCCTGGGGGGCACAAATGGCTTCTTGCTCCCACGTGGCTCCTACACAAATAGACCCACAGGCGAACAACTCAGCCAGGGTGAGTGGACAACCTCCCCTCCTCTGCTTCTTTCTTCCATAGCCGAGTGGGAAGAGCAAAGACTGCGTGTTCACCGAGATCGTGCTGGAGAACAACTACACAGCCTTCCAGAACGCTCGGCACGAGGGCTGGTTCATGGCTTTCACTCGGCAGGGCCGGCCGCGCCAGGCCTCCCGAAGCCGCCAGAACCAGCGCGAGGCCCACTTCATCAAACGCCTCTACCAGGGCCAGCTGCCTTTCCCCAACCACGCGGACAGGCAGAAGCAGTTCGAGTTCGTGGGTTCGGCCCCCACCCGCAGGACCAAGCGTACTCGGAGGCCCCAGCCCCAAACGTAGTTAGGGAGGCCATAGTGAGCAGTGTGGGGTAGATGCCCCTCGGCAGCCTTCTTTCTCTTCTCTAACTCATCCAAAGATGGGGGCTGGGGTGGAAGGTGGGGAGCCAGATCCCCAAAGGACCCAGAGGGCATCTGATTCCCAGCTGGGAAGAGACAGCACTTGTGTACCCCAGGGTGGGCACCACACTCTGGTACAGGCTCTTTTGGGGCCAGGAGCAGATTCTAGACAAAGAAGTAGGGTCTTCCCCGACCTAAAATGCCTGCCTCCCAGCGACTGCCTTAAACAAGTGGGCAGGTCAGCAGATTACTGGTCTTGCTGAAAACTATTCAAATCTTGCTCCCAGAATCTCTCTCAGTTTGAACCAAATATCCAAAACTTCTGACCAGACAGTAGGAAAGGACTTTTGGTTTTGTTTCCAGAAACACAAGAGAGAAATCAATGCCAGCCACTCTTCCTATTTCTCGCCCCAGGCTTGCCTTCCCATCCCAAGCCCCAGAATAAAACCATTTTCCTGCAACCGGGTCCGCTGAAGAAAGGTGGGCAATCAGACCACAGAACTCAACCGCAAAGTGTCTGGTGCTGGAGGCACCGAGAAGCCAGGAGCTAGCTGGGAAAGATGGGCACCCGGGCACACAGGTGTTGCAGCCTGCGCGTCCGGCTGTGCGGTACCGGGAGGCCCAGACCCGGGGGACTGGCGGCCCCTCCCTCCACGCGTTCCGATGTCCAGGCTCAGGCGACGCGTCCCTGCTACCTGTAGGAGAGAAGAAAACCCAACCCCTAGGCGCCTCCCTGAGCGGCCGCTGGCCGGGACAGGCGTCCTGTGGGGCCCAGGCCCGGGGGAGGGGGGAGGTGGTAGCAGGAGCGCGGCCCGGGGACGACAGAAGTCACCTCGCGGGGAGCAAGATTGCTTTTTTCCGGTGAGCAGGGCTGGGAGGGGGAGGAGGTCTGGGACGAGCGGAAGCGGGTGGGGGCGAGAATGTGTCCCCTTGTTCTCGTCGGTCCCCACTGGGGGCGGAGGCGGGGGCCACACCTGAGGGCAAGCCTCAATTAGAGGCGGTCGCAGGCTGGCAGTGGAGGGGGAGGGCGCCCAGCCCCCACCGAGCTTCTGGGGTGGGCTTTCCCAGAGGCTTCCAGGTGTGCGGGGGGGGGGGGGGGGGGGGGGGGAGCGAGGGTGGAAGCCGTAAAACCGCCTCTCCTACGGTGCGCTGGTTTTTAATCTTGTCAAGGGGGAGGTTATTGTGTCTGGGACCCTCCTCTCCTTTCTCCTTTCTGCTCCTGGAATCTTCAGCCTCAGTTTCCCCCTTTAAGAAAATGTTGGGGGGGAGGAGTAATTATGAAGAGAAATGGAAAAGATTGAAAGCTAACCTTCTTGTCACTTCTCCCAAGAAATTACTTCAAAAAGTCCCGAACAGAAGTTGTAGGGCCGGGGCCTGGTTTAGTCTGAACCAGAGGTGGGCTGCCGCAGACAGAACCAACTCAGAGCTGGAACAGGGCCTGACCCCCCAACCCCGGGGCCATTTAGAAGGTGGAGCCGACAAGAGCCAAGAGGGAGGTCCCGCAGGCCTAGGATTGACATTCTCCTTCCAGTTCGTCATAATTGCTTTTCACCAGGTTGCTTTTTTTCTGTCCCCCTATCACAAAGAGCCTTAATCCCAGTGAAGACCGCCGGACGCGCTGGGGGTAGTTTTCTGGGGTGTGTGTAGGGCGGGTGGTCTGGGGCTGCAGCTGATAACTGGCGAGTTCAATGGGACTTTAAAACTGAGGCAACACCCAGCAATTACTTGAGGACAAAGAGTTGGGGCCCCCAAGGTGTGGAGTATTGGGGCTTTGGGGGGCTGGGAGGACTTTGAGAAGGAGGGGGGCTCTGATCTCTCTGATTATCGCAGGAATCTGAGACATTCTTAAGACTCTAGACTGCCTCTCCAGCCGGGCCTTGGCCCACCCCTCACCCTCCCTCTTGGGTTAGAGGCAGCTTCAAAGGTGGACTGGGCCCTTTGTCTGGCCTCGGCTTTCTTCTCAGGCCTTTCTCGGCCCCTCCCTCCCTCTTTGACCTCCCCAGCACAGACAAGCCTCTCGGGGCCAGCTCCAGAAAGCCCTCACTGTTTCCTTTCTTGCTTTTTGAGGTGAGGCCTGGCAGGCAGGGACAGAGTATGCCAAAGAGAAAGGACAGCTTTTGGAGGGCAGGGCTGAACCGGAAGCCAAGGGGCATCTCAGAGAGCCTTCAATCCAGCCCATCCCTGGCTGGGCTGAAAACCCACTCCTCACCACACCTGTTAGCCGGCAGGCTCCTTACCCTAGGTAGAGTTTCATAAACCAGAGACTTCTGGACAAGGTTAACATGGAAACTCTACAATGCCGAAGCCAGAGCCAAGCATGCTGACATACCCCAGTAATCCTAGCCCTCCGGAAGCTAAGGCAAGAAGACTGAGTTCTTGCCTGGACTGCATGAGACCCTGTTGAAGATAAATAAGTAAATAAAATGCATGGGTCAAAAGGAATTGATCTCCGGTGATAACTTGTTGGAGGGGCATAAAGGGTGTGTGGTAGGGAAGGGACTTCCCAACGATTTCAGACCCACATAGAGACTTTAGCAGCCCTGGCTGCTTCTGACGATTCCTAAGCAGATTCCTGACAATAGTCTCTTGCTAGAGAAGGCAAGATGAACCCATCCAGGGAGAGAAGGTGGAGGGAAGCCACAGGGAGCGGCCTCCAATCCTGTGTGATGTAGTATTACCATATTCTGAGAATATCCTCCACATCAATCTCTTTTGCTCTGTCTTGCCCCTTCACCATCTGTCCACTAAACTCCAAAGGAGCGGGTGTAAGGAAGTCAGGAATGATGTCCATCTCGTTCAGATACCACATGGCTGCTTCTATTTTAAGTCCCATCGTCCAGCAATGCCCCTTGGATGCCAGTGGCCAGGGGCCTCCCAGTTACCAAGCCAGAATCATCCTCCAGTCCTCAGCCTTGGACTATAGTAAACTAATCTCCCTGGCTTCACTGCCCTGTTCCCATAGAAACTTCTCTAAGGGGGGCTAAAGAGATGGCTCAGCAGTTAAGAGCACTGACTGTTTTTCCAGAGGACCCAGGTTCAATTCCCAGAACCTACATGGCAGCTAACAACTGTCTGTAACTCCAAGATCTGAAACCCTCACACAGACATACATAAAGGCAAAATAGCAATGCACATAAAATTAAAAAAAAAATAACAATAAACCTCTCTAAGCCCTCTATGGGTTTCCCTCCTGAGTATTGTCCTTGGAAGCCATGGGCAGGCACCCCTGGTAGGGCTCCCTAGGCTCTACCTACCCACCCACTTGTATGCATCCACTAATTTCCAAACACACAGGTCTGCGAGGGCCATCACTAACAAATCCCCTGTCCAGCCTTACAGACACCAGCAAAACAAGGATGCTTGCCTGATGCGTTTATCTAATTATTCTTTATCAATAGGAGTTTATAGGAGTCAAATACTCCTATCTTCCCTCAGTCCTCCAAAACATCTATGGCTAATTTCGGTCAGCTAGTGGCTAGCTCTGCCCCCTGACACAAAGCAAGCTTTATTGTCAAAACGCAATCAAAATATCATACAACACTCACCCCTCCACACTAATCACACCCCCTCTATTTTGCTTAGTTTGTTGTTTGTGTGTGTGCACAGTATGTGTGTGACACACTTGCCACGACATCCATGTAAAGGACAGAGGACAAGTGGAGTTGGTTCTCTTCCTCCACCATCAGACTTGCACAGCAAGTGCCTTTGCCTGCCAAACGGTTTCACTGGTCCTGTTGGGTTTTTGTTTGTTTGTTTGTTTGTTTGTTTTTAATAAAATTTTGTTCTTATTTTATGTGCATGGGTGTTTTGTCTGCATGTATGTCTGTGTATCACATACATGCCTAGTGACTTCAGAGAATAGAAGTAGGGGATACAAACTCTGAAGCTGGAGTCATGGGCAGCTGTGGATCACTTGAGATGGGTGCTGGGAACTGAACTTGGGTCTTCTGAAAGAACAGCAAGTGCTCTTAGATACTGAGCCATCTGCTCAGCCATCTTTCCAGCCCCTGGTCTGTGTGTGTGTGTGTGTGTGTGTGTGTGTGTGTGTGTGTGTATGATATGTGTGTATGTGTGTGGTGAGTATGTATAAGAGACCAGAGGTTGACATTGGTCTATTGTCTTCATACCCACATTCATACATACATAGTCTCATGAGACTTGGTTTGACCCTACAGTGCACACTGGTCTAGAACTCACTATGTAGCCAGGGCTAACTTCAAACTTGGAGCAGCCATCTGTCCTAACTCAGCCTCCCAGGAGCTGGGATTCCAGATGTGAGCCACCAGCACCACCCTGTTCCCACCTCTCAGCTCTGAAAGCTTTGCCCACTGGTGTGCTCTCCTCTGGCTCTGCCCCAGCGCTGTGTTCCTGGCCCTCATGATGCAGGCAGAATGGGAAGCCAGAGCCCTCAGGTGTCCTTGGGGAAGAAGGGGTCCTGAGCAGTCACTTTGAATTAAGCATTCATTTCCTCCCTTCGGTACTGAAGCACCATGAGGATCCTCCAGTTAATTAATGTTGGAGAAGATGGAGCTTTGGGGCACTTAAATTTTAATTGGAGGGATTAACCCATAAAGGCATGGCTCTTTCATTGAGATTTTTTTTTTTTTAATTCTATCTCCTTAAAATGAAGATAAGAAGGCACCCAGGTGTGGTGCCTCAGGCCTGTAATCCTATCACTTGGGAACCAGGGAATTGAGGCAGGAAGTTTCAAGTTCTAGGCCATCCTGGGCTACTTATATAATGAAAGTCTTTAAAAAAAAAATAGATATCCCAAAAGAGTAGATAAGAAGTTTCGAAGATAAATCTGGGACCATCCTCATGGCCGTAACACCAGCACTTAGGAAGCTTAAGAAGAGCTGCTGTACCCTTGAGGCTGGGCGATGAAGTCTCAGAAGGATAAAAGTTTGGAAATCAGGAACTGGAATGTACTAAGCCCTAGAGATA